ACTGTGCAAAGTGATAATATATAAATCCTGTATAAAAATATAATATCCCCAAACATATTTATCACTCCCATGTGAGAGGACTTGCTACACCATGTCCTTTTTAGGCACTCAGGTTGGTTGTCCTTTCCTGCTGTTTAGTAGGTGAAAAATCGTGCTGCTTGAACCTTTTATATTGTCTTTTCATTAAATAATATCTGAAATTAAACGCACATCTAAGTGCCCATTCACACTGATAACAGTGCAGTCCTCCATTCCAGCTGCAGTAAGCCACCAATAGAGGGCAATGTGATGCACGTTCTTTTGTGTCAACTTTATTTGGAAGACCACAAAGTGACACTTCATTTGTGTCACTGTACAGCACTGTGGTGCATTGCGTGCTGTACAATGATATGAAATCTCTATCTGTATGGCTGCATTGCAGTGTGAATAGTACACATGGAAAACAACTGTTTTCTGTGCATCCTAATGGTGATCTGCATTCATCCAGTGCAGTAAAACGAAGGTCACTGCACTATGTGTAAACAGGGCCTAAAAGCTCTAAATGAAAGTTTAAATTATCTCTGTATTCTTGTAGAGTGCCAATATAATTTCATTTCTGGAGTATTTCTGTCTGGTCTGGCAGCAAGTATCAAAGATTTTTCTTAAGATCAGGGTTGTTGTGGAAGATACTGTAAACTGTGTGTCTTTTTGATAAACTTTTGCAACAACTATTGTATTTATCAATGGTTAAAAGACAAGTTCAGGAATTAAAACAAACATACATACTCACCTGGTGGATACAGTATCTCCCAGAAGTGAGTACTCCCCTCACAAGCTGAGGATAAAAGTGATGGACAAGCCAAGCATGTCTGCAGACCTAAACCATATTGAGCATCTGTGGGGCATCCTCAAATGGAAGGTGGAAGAGCGCAAGGTCTATAACATCCACCAGCTCCGTGATTTTATCATGGAGGAGTGGAAGAGGACTCCAGTGGCAACCTGCAACGCTCTGATGAACTCTATGCCCAAGAGGGTTAAGTCAGTGCTGGAAAATAATGGTGGCCACACAAAATATTGACAGTGTGGGCTCAATTTGGACATTTTCACTTAGGGGTGTACTCACTTTTATTGCCAGCAGTTGAGACATTAATGACTGTGTGTTGAGTTATTTTGAGGGGGGCAGCAAATTTATACTGTTATACTGTACATTCACTACTTTACATTGTAGCAAAGTGTCATTTCTTCAGTGTTGTCACATGAAAAGATATAATAAAATATTTACAAAAATGTGAGGGGCGTACTCAGTTCTGTGAGATACTGTAGATATGATGTTGCACCTGTCCCTCGCTGCCTCTAAGGCTAGGTTCACACCTATGCAGTTTGCACTTGATCCCTTTTTGCCATGTTTTTGATGCGCTTTTTTTCTTGTTGCTAAACAAGGTATCAAAAACACGGCAACAATGCATAAAAATGCACCACATGCTTTTCTGCAGCATTTCCATTGAAGTCTATAGAACCAAAATGGCTGTCTCAAGCTCTCTGAAAGCCTGAGCTAGCTGCCTTTCCATGCATCTGGGTGGATCCTGACTTTAAAGTCGGGACCTCTATAGAGCCTGGACCAGGTCAGTGGCATCAGCAGACAGTGGACTTTAGCCCACTATCAGTTGAATATGGGTCTCCTGTGATCCACAGGAGAAGTAGGGCAAAAAGAGCTTTGGCCATCCTTTAGCTGTAAAGTTAACAGACTCCCAGTGATGATCATGCTCAGGCTACTGGCACATATATTGTTGTCCTGCGAGCTGAAAAATTTCTGTGCAGCGTTAGGCAAGGGTAACATTTCCCCATATAGTCCTCTGGTTATGATCATCTTTACACCATTTGCAACAGTTGCTCGGTAATGCCATGCAACTGGACACACTAAAACACTAATACATTTCTAAAAAAGTTTACAATATTGAGCAGCATGCCACAAATAGCTCAGCTCGCTTTAACATATATATTTTTTTTAAGTTTGCTAACAATAGATATGCATTGGGGAAGAAAACTATTTACCTTCCTGCAACACTTTTAAAGCACAAACCACTTCAACTCTGGAAGGTTTTACACCATTCATGACCAGGCCATTTTTTGCTATTCGGCACTGCGGTACTTTCACTGACAATTACGCAGTCATGCAACACTGTACCAAATTAAATTTATAGAATTTCTTCATACAAATAGAAATTTCTTTTGGTGGTATTTAATCACCACTGGGTTTTTTTATTTTATTATATAAATGAAAAAAGACCAAAACCTTTGAAAAACAAAAAATATTTTTTACGTTTTGCTATAAAATATATCCAATACAAAAAATTAAAAAAGCTAAATTTCTTTATAAGTTCAGACCAAAATGTATTCTGCTACATGTCTTCAGTAAAAAAAATCCAAATCACTGTATATAAATTGGAATGCGTGAAATACAGGTGAAACTCAAAAAATTAGACAATTGTGCAAAAGTTCATTTATTTCAGTAATGCAACTTAAAAAGGTGAAATATATGAGATATATGAGATAGACTCATTACATGCAAAGCAAGATAGTTCAAGCCGCGATTTGTCATAATTGTGATGATTATGGCTTACAGCTCATGAAAACCCCAAATCCACAATCTCAGAAAATTAGAATATTGTGAAAAGGTGCAATTTTCTAGGCTCAAAGTGTCCCACTCTAATCAGCTAATTAAGCCATAACACCTGAAAAGGGTTCCTGAGCCTTTAAATGGTCTCTCAGTCTGGTTCAGTAGGAATCACAATCATGGAAGAGACTGCTGACCTGAAAGTTGTGCAGAAAACCATCATTGACACCCTCCATAAGGAGGGAAAGCCTCAAAAAGGTAATTGCAAAAGAATTTTGGATGTTCCCAAAGTGCTGTATCAAAGCACATAATAGAAAGTTATGTGGAAGGGAAAAGTGTGGAAGAAAAAGGTGCACAAGCAGCATGGATGACCGCAGCCTGGAGAGGATTGTCAGGAAAAGGCCATTCAAAAGTGTTGGGGACTTTCACAAGGAGTGGACTGAGGCTGGAGTCAGTGCATCAAGAGCCACCACACACAGACGGATCCTGGACATGGGCTTCAAATGTCGTATTCCACTTGTCAAGCTGCTCCTGTACAACAAACAACATCAGAAGCATCTTACCTGGGCTAAAGAAAAATGTACCTGTTGCGCAGTGGTCCAAAGTCCTCTTTTCTGATGAGAGCAACTTTTGCATCTCATTTGGAAACCAAGGATCGAGAGTATGGAGGAAGAATGGAGACCAAACACGATTTCTTCTGCGCTCTAGGACCCAGGCGGGTGGCAAATAGATGGAACCAGAACTGGAAAAATGCGACCACCAGTGCATCAAAGGTTGTGCAGCTCCAAACAAGGCTGGGGAAGCCCGACCAACACTACAAAGCGAAACAAAAATGAGAAGCGCACAAACCTTGCGCATTACCTCAGTAAACAAAAATTTATTAATAAGAAAGGTACTCACAAACAGTGAATAAAATCAGGCATGTAAGTCCTCACAGGGACTTCAAAGATAAGGAGCCAGCGCGAGTCCCATCGTGGGGGTAGCTGTTGTCAGCTCTGATGAAGAAGGTTTGGCCTTCGAAACGCGTCAGTTGAACTGAGTGTCTACCCCCACGATGGGACTCGTGCTGGCTCCTTATCTTTGAAGTCCCTGTGAGGACTTACATGCCTGATTTTATTCACTGTTTGTGAGTACCTTTCTTATTAATAAATTTTTGTTTACTGAGGTAATGCGCAAGGTTTGTGCGCTTCTCATTTTTGTTTCGCTTTGTAGGAAGAATGGAGATGCACACACTGCAAGATGCTTGAAGTCCAGTGTGAAGTTTCTACAGTCTGTGTTGACTTGGGGAGCCATGTCATCTGCTGGTGTTGGTCCACTGTGCTTCATTAAGTTCAGGGTCAACGCAGCCGTCTACCAGGAGATTTTGGAGCACTTCATGCTTCCTTCCGCAGACGAGCTTTATGGGGATGCCGACTTCATTTTCCAGCAGGATTTGGCACCTGCCCACACTGCCAAAAGCACCAAAACCTGGTTCAATGACCGTGGGATTACTGTGCTTGATTGCCCAGCAAACTCACCTGACCTGAACCCCATAGAGAATCTATGGGGCATTGCCAAGAGAAAGATGAGAGACATGAGACCAAACAATACAGAAGAGCTGAAGGCTGCTATTGAAGCATCCTGGTCTTCCATAACACCTCAGCAGTGCCACAGGCTGATAGCTTCCATGACACGCTGCACTGAGGCAGTAATTGCTGCAAAAGGGGCCCAAACCAAGTACTGAATACATATGCATGCTTGTACTTTTCAGAGGTCTGATATTGTTCTATGTACTGTACAATCCTTGTTTTATTGATTGCATGTAATGTTCTAATTTTCTGAGATTGTGGATTTGGGGTTTTCATGAGCTGTAAGCCATAATCATCACAATTATGACAAATCACGGCTTGAACTATCTTGCTTTGCATGTAATGAGTCTCATATATTAGTTTCACCTTTTAAGTTTCATTACTGAAATAAATAAACTTTTGCACGATATTCTAATTTTTTTTTTCGAGTTTCACCTGTATATATTAGAATTTAATTTTTTTTTACACTAAAAATGGCAGTGATCAGTGTGTTATACTGGGACCATGATAGTATGGCAGGCAATCTGACACTAACTGACACTTTTTGGGAACTGCCACTGACATCTACAATGATACTAATACAGTGTTTAGTGCTAATATTATACACTGTCATTTAACTAGGATTACTCCCCAATGGGTGGGGCAAAATGCATCAGAAATGGGGCTCTGGAGGAACTCACAGCTGAAGCTGTTCACATTTCTTTTCATCTGTTAAGCTAGTGGTGTGCGATCTCTCATCCTTTCATATTTCCCTTCTTTCTGGATTAAGCATAAGAGCCTGCACCCTTATATTGCTGTGAGACACCAAATCTATCAGAGCACCTTGAGCTGTGCTATACGTAGTATCAGGGGAGGAATGACCATTTGGAAACTCGGGCACTGCCCGAGGGCCTGGGGTCAGTAGGGGCCCCATGAGATGCCCCTGGTACCTTTTTCATAGGCTTTTTTGAGTTTGGGCAAGGACACAGGGGCCCCATGATCCCCTATTGCCCGGGGGCCCCATGAGTTGTCAGTCCGCCCCTGCGTAGTATAGGGTATAGTGAGCACTGTCTGGGAAGGGATTAACATCTAGGGACAATCAAAGGGGTAACTATGTACCCAAAAATGTTTAATGTGTGTAATGTGTGCTGCTTTTGCTAAGCAATGTGCCTGCTTTTACTCCTCGCTTTTCAGGGAGAAAAAGAGGCACATTGCTGCTGTCTGTGCAGAGTTCTGTGTTGTTTGTCAACACAGCTCTGTTCAGTTATTCACTCAGTCAGCTTATGCTATAGTGGATGAAAGCACAGATGGATGGGTGTGCACATCCCCTACCAGGAAATGCTGGATCACGTGATAGATAGAGATATATATATATATATATATATATATATATATATTATACACACACACACACACATATATATATATATATATATATATATATATATATATATATATACACACACACACACACACAGTGACCACCCAGTAACAGTAAGGCAGTCCATAAGCTGTTAAACAGCAGTTGATGATGTAATGCTTATACACTGAATTCTTACAGGGGGTTTTATTGTAAAGCTTTTAAAAAGTATTTTTTGTATTTCAATGTGCAATTTTGCACATTGTGTATAATGTGTTTGCAGTTCGTACACTTATTTTGGGGCTTGAAGACAAGTTAAAGCTGAACTCTGGGAAATCTAAAAATCATTTCAAGCTGTGAGACTGCAAGGGTTACCTGCTTATTTCTGTCTACAGGACTTGGTAAAGCACTTTTACTTATCCAAACCTTCAGCTCTGTAGGCTCTTCTTCCCTGATAAACCAATCCCAGCAGCCTCTTCTGTCCCATGCTCTCTTGGTCAAAGGTCCTCTAACATCTGCAAGACCATCGCAGGTAGTAATGCCCTGCATTGGACGTAAGAACACCAATGGACAGTTTGCTGCTAGAACAAGGGGAAGCAAAATGTCAGGTAAGTAAAACAGATTTTTCATCCCATAGACAGAAACAAGCAGGAGGTGTTTTTAGTTTTTGTGGAGTTGGGTGTTAATCAGCTTACACAGGTTGAGCTCTTTCACTGAATCTTTCTACTTCTCCCTTTGTTTTACATATTCTGCATGGTACATTTAACTGTGGCTAGCCTGTCAGTCCCCACATGTTTGTTTCATATTGCTTACCAAGCTATGTATAATTGAAAAACACATACAATTGCAAGAAAAAATGCAGAGACTGCTGCTGGTCCAAGTGTATTCATGACAGCAGCAAACCCCAAATATGCGCAGTTCTGCTTGTCCACATGTAATATTTACACTCTGTAACAGGCTTTTGCCCTTACTCTTTTCTCCATGTTAAGGCTCCATGCACATTGATAACAATTTTAAATAGACAGTGTAAAATTAAAAGAATCAAATAAAATAAATAATAAAAAAAATGCAGAGATTCCACCCCCACCGTAATTGCATGCAAAATCGAACGTGCACATTGGTCCTGAATCAGCACATAAAAGATGATCGTACCACACCTGTAAAGTATTGCTGGGAACATCAGAGTGAGAGCAATAATTCTAGCACCAGACCTCCTTTGTAACTCTAAACTGGCAAAAAATAATGTTTTTTAAATTGTTGCCCAATGAAGATTTTTAAATACCGTAGTTTGGCACCATTCCAAGAGTGTGCTCAATTTTACTACTTGATATGTTAGATATCTATTTGTTCGTGTAACACCATATTTTATATTTTACAAAAAAATGAGGTATTATGTTTGTGGCCATTAAAATTCATTAAATTGTATTTTACCCCAAAAATTTGTTTTAGAAAAACTGCTGTTGCAAATACTGTGTGACATGAAAAAAAAAAATGCAAAGCCCACCAAAACCTAATAGTATGCTGCACTGTGTCAAAAATGAATGCTAGATGTTGAATTGAAGCCCAAACCCTTTTTCTAAATAAGATCCGTCTGTATGCCACGTCCACTTCTGGCTTAGTGCAATATGACTTTCAATTAAAAAGGTTAAAGCATGAATCCAGTACTGTAGACAAGAACTAATTGTACTGTATAACACATGAGAAAAAAAAAAATCACAATTTGACAATTCACATTCAACTCAACTACAACTGTACAATTGAAAATTAAAAACACAGCAGGTACAAATGGTGCACTGGAGTACTAAAATGTTTGCATATAGATGATATTGTTTATATTATCTTATATTATAATCGAATAGTTTTATACAGTTTTAACCTTGACATGTTGTAGAAATGCAAAGAAAAAGCTTTAATATTCCCCAGTTTATTCTCGGGTGTGTGTTTAAATAGTTTTTGCAATCACTACTGCCATTTGACACTAACAGCTAGCTATGAGAGATTTTAGCAAGCAGGTACAATTTATCACATACACATTGACCCAGCTGAGTGTCAATTAAATGACAGTCACCCATGGTGCAAAAGAAACGTGTGTGCTTTTGCAGAAACAAATTTATGAGCTCTTGGTATGAAGCCATGACCATTAGCTAACTCTGCAAAGGAGCGGAAAATTCTAGCTGAATTTATAGGGGAAAAACATAAACTATGTGTCCTTGCAATTTTATAGCAATGCAAATGTTCTTTTAATTTATGGAAGTAAAATTGCTTAGTTCACACTGGCTCCATCAGTAAAATGCCAGACAGTATCAGAAGACTGTAAAATTTCTACAAGCCACCTAATCTAAATGAGGCAGGCAAGGGTAAGAAGATCCTTCAAAAGAAGGTCACACATACGTCTACTATCATGGGGTTCTTTGACTAAAATAGAATAATGAGGATAAGATGAAATCACTAATCTATACAGGCTCTGTTAAAATGTAAAGCTATTTTGTTTACTAATTAATGTAGTAAACATAAAGATAGCTAAAGCCGACCTTCACTTAAAAGTGATAGTACCATTCATCCTTCTCTTCTCCCCCTTCCACTTTTTTCTTGGAGCAGGTACCTTTTTCTGACAGATGCCCACTACCAAAATTGTTACTTTGGCAAGATTTATGTCAGCTTGGCCAGGCTTCCCCCCCACCAGCATGCGACCTCCTGGGACACAACACATGTCCCATGAGGCTGCAGAACTTATACAGCAGTGCTGTCTTGCTTCATGCATGTGCATTGATAGGTTTGCTGTGAGACTTCAGCAATCCCCAGCTAGCTCCCATATCCAAGCTGTCAGTACTGGAGAGTCGAATCCTAGCCAAGAACCCAGTTCAAGAAAGACTCCATGGATTGATAAGCCTATATTCTTTAATTGTCAGCAGCCACAGTACATGTAGAGAGAGACAGATTATTATTCCCAGAAAATGAGAGGGATATGACACATGAGGTGGGAGCTGTGCTAGGTAAGTGACTTTTCCTGAATATGTCAAATTTGATAGCAAGTTTAAGGGCATATTGCAAGCTTTTTTTGAGCTTTCCCTTGCATTTTTTTTTATTTGATGGGGAGGTCTCCTTAATTACATTATTAACTTTATAAAGGTCAAACAGTGATATTCCAGTTGAGGTAGGTGATAGAAGGTTAAATCAGATATTAGCTTCCAATATCTCTCTTAAACCTTTGTGATTTGATTAATGCACTTGAGTTCACAGATTTCCTGTCTCACTGCACAGCCTCATTGTCCCTTTTCAATTATTGTATTTACCTGCAGTGGGAAGGGTAAAACACCATCTGCTGTAAGAACACGGTGACTTCATGCCAGATGTCACAGCTGGAAATTCTCACAGCGAGATATTGCTTCTGGATTCTCTAGGGAATTTAGGAAACAAGTTCATATATTGGCATTTAGGTATCCTCCTATACTTGAAATATCAAAATTAAATGAAGTGATCCTTTAAAAGGGGGTCTTTTTAAAGTCATAATAATAAAACAGTTCTTACTCTAAATTTATTAATCTGGTTATGTCTCATTGGGCAGATTTACTAAAACTGGAGCACTCAGAATCTGGTGTTCAATTATTATTATAATACAGGATTTATATAGCGCCAATAGTTTACACAGCACTTTACAACATAAGGGCAGGCAGAACAATTACAATAAAATAAATACAGGAGGATTCAGAGGGCCCTGTTTGGTACAGCTTACAATCTAAGAGGGAGGGTCGAGAGATACAAGAGGTAATAACTTTGGGGGATGAGCTGATGGACAAAATACATATACAGTTGTTAGGTAGGGGCAGGATAGGCCTCTCTGAAGAGATGAGTTTTCACGGATCATCTAAAAGTGGACAGAGATGGCGATAGCCAGACACATTGGGGAAGGGAGTTGCAGTGGATGAGAGCGGCTCTGGAGAAATCCTGGAGGCAAGCATGGGAGAAAGTGACAAGGGAGCTAGAGAGCAGGAGATCTTTGGAGGAACGAAAAGAATGATTTGGTTGGTAAATTTTGAGACCAGCTTAGTGATGTAACTAGGGGCTGAGTTGTGGATGGCTTTATAAGTTGTTGTAAGTATCCTGAATTTTATTTGTTGGGTGAGTGGGAGCCAGTGGAGGGATTGACAAATAGGGGTGGCAGACACTGAACTGTTGGTAAGGTGGATGGTGGATAGGTCTGCCCGCAGCATTCATGATGGACTGGAGAGGGGTTAGCCTATGCAAAGGGAAGCCAGTGAGGAAGGAGTTGCAGTATTCAAGGCATGAGATGACCAGGTAGTTAGTTAGAAGCTTTGTGGTGTCATTGGTTAGGAAGGGGCGTATCTTGGAGATGTTGTGGAGGGTGAGGGGGCAAGCTTTGGACAGAGAATGTGGGACTGAAATGATAGATCAAAGTACAGGATTACACTAGCCTAGCACTCTGGCATGTGGGGATTGGTTGATGGTTGAGCCGTTGATTTCGAAACTGAAGTCAGTGGAAGGGGCATGTCGGGAAGAAAATATTATGAGCTCAGTTTTGGATAGAATATTTTTCATAAAGTGGTGTAACATCCAGGCTCATATGTCTGTTAGTAGATTAGTGATGCATGAGGAGACTGAGTGAGCCGAGGGGTAGAGAGATAGATTTGATATCATCTGCATAGAA